TCTCTCTCTCTCTCTCTCTCTCTCTCTCTCTCTCTCTCTGTGACTCTCTCCATGCTGCTATGATAAATGGTTTTCATTGTGAGTGATGAAGACAAAGAGCCTCTCTCATTGTCTCTCGTCAACACACGCTCTCCCTCAACTCTCTCTTTCTCTTCCTCTCTCTCTCTCTCTCTCTCTCTCTCTCTCTCTCTCTCTCTCTCTCTCTCTCTCTCTCTCACCAAGTTTCGGTGTTTCTTCCTCTATATACTCGGTAATTCTCGAAGAAGCTCAAAGTTCAAATCGAAGCTTTAGCAGCCATCACTGCTGTGTGATCAGCCAGCGGAAGCTGTCCCTTCCTTCTCTCCGCCTCGTCCACCTCCTCCGCCTCCCCCTCCTCCTCCTCCCCATGCTTCATCTTCTTCTCATCTGCGCCCTGGAGCGCTCTCTCCTTCCGCCTCTGCACCTCAAGGTATACCAACAGCGATGTAATGTCTGCAGGGTTCACTCCCCCAATGCGAGATGCCTGCCCAATGTTGATTGGCCGTATCTTTGACAGCTTTTCCCGAGATTCCAGCGAGAGCGTTGTGATTGCGTGGTAATCTATGTCAGCAGAAATGGGCCTGTGATGCTTTGCTGCCATCTGCTCCAATTGCTTTTGTTGTCTTGTGATAAAACCCTCATACTTCAGATCAATCTCGACACACTCCTTCTCCTCTGGCAACAGCGCCTCGTTCCCAAGCTGATGTGCGTCTAGCACATCGTAATGCACATGCGGCCTTCGGATGAAACTGTCTAACGAGGCATATTGCTTTACAGGCTGCTTCGACAGCTCTGCCACAGAAATAGCCAAGGGGTGATCCTCAGAGACCCTCTCGGTTGCCAATCTGGTCTTCTCCTCTGCAATCCGATCTTGCTTATCAAGATACAATCTCCACCGTCGATCGTCAATCAGCCCCACCTCGCGGCCAAGAGGGGTCAAACGACTGTCCGCATTATCAGATCTCAAAAGGAGGCGATACTCAGATCGGCTCGTCAGCATCCGGTACGGTTCCCGCAAGTCCTTGGTGACAAGATCGTCGATCAGTGTCCCAATGTAGCTGCTTTCTCTCTCGAGGACAACCATATCCTTACCCGCAGCCAGTCGTGCAGCGTTGATTCCTGCAACCAGCCCCTGCGCAGCAGCTTCCTCATAGCCTGTTGTGCCATTGATCTGACCGGAAAAGAACAGCCCTTCGATTTTTTTTGTCATCAGCGTGTGGTCACACTGATGCGCGGGAAGGTAATCGTACTCGACCGCATACGCTGGCCTAAGCATTGAGCAATGTTCCAGTCCAGGCAGGCTATGGAGCAGAGCCAGCTGTATAGGCTCGGGAAGCCCTGTGGAAAAGCCCTGCACATACAGCTCGGGGGTCGTTCTGCCCTCTGGCTCCAGAAAAATTTGGTGCGACTCTTTGTCCTTGAACCGTACGATCTTGTCTTCAATCGATGGGCAATATCGAGGCCCCTTAGCACTGGCCCAGCCTCCGTACGTCGGGGTCTCATGGAGATTGTCCATGATGATTTTGTGTGTTTCTGCAGTCGTCCTCGTCAGATAACAACTCATCTGCTCCCGCACCACTCGGTGGCTTTCTGGGTCAAAGCTGAACCATCTCACCTCCTCGTCGCCCGGCTGCTCCTCGAGTCGGGCAAAGTCCACAGTGCGGATATCGACACGAGCAGGAGTGCCAGTCTTCAACCTGTCCGTTTGAAAGCCTAACTTGACCAGATTCTCTGTCAGCCCCTCTGACGCCGACTCCCCTGCCCGGCCTGCCGCCATAGACATCCGTCCCACCCAGATGCGGCCATTCATGAATGTCCCCGTGGTAAGAACCACGGCCGGTGCATAGAACCGGGTCCCAAAAAACGTATCCACGCCTATCACATTGTCATTCGGACCGAGGACAAGATCCGTCGCCATCGCCTCTCGAACAAACAAATTTGGGGTCGTCTCCACTACCTTCTTCATTTCCGCCGCATACTCTCTCTTGTCCGTCTGTGCCCGCAATGCCCACACAGCAGGGCCTTTGGACTTGTTCAGTACCCTTTTCTGGAGGTAACACCTGTCAGCCATTCTCCCAATCGCCCCACCCATGGCGTCGACTTCGTGGACAAGCTGCGACTTCGCGGGACCACCAACGGCAGGATTACAAGGCTGCCACGCAATGCGGTCCAGGTTCAGAGTGAGCAAGAGTGTACGCGCACCCATCCGCGCGGCTGCCAGCGCCGCCTCACAACCCGCATGACCGCCGCCTACTACCACCACGTCGTACCGCTCACCGTTCCCTTCACTCGTTCTTTTAATTGCCCCCCCCGCCTGGGTTTGCTTTCCCCCCCCTGATGATGATCCTCCACCCCCGCCCCTCCCATCATCGTCCATCGGCTTCTGGTCAGGCTTTGCCATCTGAAAACCAGCTTGCGCAGACGGGCGAGTGGACGTCCCGAGGCCGCGTCGCACGTGTGCGCGGCGCAGGGTCTCCCCGCCCACCGCCATCAATTTGCCCGCGTCATCCCCGCAGCTGTGCGCGAGCCCCGCCATGCCATGGCGCAGCGATGGCGGGACGGTCAGAGCTGAAAGGCAGCGACGACAAGTCCACCATCTCGCATAAGGACATTTTCGAGGAGGTGCCACGTGGACTGCAGGAGATCGCTGGGGCGGTGACGAGCCACACGAGGACGCCACGTGGACCGGGAAAGCGCGGCCACGGTTTGCCGTCGATCCGCTGCGCGCCAAAACGTTATTATGTGATAACGTGGACGCCGCTAGAACCGCCATCGGGATTCCGGCGGAGCGATGGCGGACAAACAGTCCGGCCTGGCCGGCCACCGCTGCGGAAGCGCTCCTGAACGACCACCTGCGCATTGAAGTGGACTCGGACTCTACGCTGGCGATCGGTGGCACTGCGAACAGGCCGACTACCGGTACCGGGAAGTGGGAAGACCATTTAGTCCCACCACCGTGTCATACTGAATCAACTCCAACATAACTTTCGAGTCCAACCCAACTCTACTCTTCACTCCACTCGAAACGACTCACCTCGATTGCACGCAGTTCGACTCCAGAGAAACACCCACTCCATGGACCAGTCATACACTGACGTGCCACGCAAGTACCAGCACGAAACACGAAACCAAGCAAGGGCAGGATACACGGCTTCGCCGCGACCAAATCCGCAGCACGCAGTCGGATGCAAACAGGACGAGAGAGAGAGAGAGAGAGAGAGAGACACGTCGATTCGTGCAGTCCGACTTCAGAAAAACAACTCCATGGACAAGTCATGCACTGACGAGCCGCGCGCAAAGAGCAGCACGAAACACGAAACCAAGCGGCGGAAGGAAATACGGGTTCGACGCACAGTCAGATACAAACCGCAAGAGAGAGAGAGAGAGAGAGGGGGAAAAAAAACGATCTCTGTCTCTCTCTCTTTATCTCCGCACGCGCGGGGGCAAGCGAGCGAGAGAGAGAGAGAGAGAGAGAGATCAGAAGTAGCACCGTGGCAGCTTCTTCGAATGTATCATCACACATTCAAGCTCCGATACACTCGAAAACAGAACTCGAAGTTCGTGCTTGAGAATTTTCGTTATACCCCTCAAAGCTAAGATATATCCCAAAATGCCCCTAAGGGGCGTGGGTAGACCGGAATACCCTTCTCACAATTAAAAACCTTTGCAAGATACCCTTGGCGACTGTTGGACGGACCATCCTTGCAATAAACCCCTACCGTGTACGGGTACAACTTTTCAAAACCCCGTACGTCCCAACTCATTTTCAGCTTATCCTTATGGACGTCCTGGTAAGTTTCTCCATCTCTGACCTCGACCTCCTCCTCGGTCGCCATTCCTCCAAGGCCTCCTCCCTCTGTGTGTGTGTGTGTGTGTGTGTGTGTGTGTGTGTGTGTGTGTGTGTGTGTGTGTGTGTGTGTGTGCGTGTGTGCGTGTGTATTGTGAATGTTCACCACAACATCCCCCATTGTGATAAGCCAAGCTCCCTACCTGGATTCTTCACATACCCTTCCGAATAAACCCCGGAGTAAGCCCCAAAGTACGGATCTTGACTGATTACTAGAAAAGGGTTCCGTCTTGAATTTTTGAAGACCATCTGCATGCATCGTTCGGTATTTGCCCTTCCTTGCTCAAATTAGCCTCGCACAGCCTACTAGCGCCCCCGCGGGAATTTCAAGAAAATCGTTACGAATCCAGTTGACTATTTTTCTTTGTATCAATATGCGCACGCGCACGGCCATTTTGAATTCTTGCTTGCTACGCAAGCTCGCTTCCTTGCTTTGCACGCGCACACCAACTTCTTTTCTTGCTGACCTTTGTCTTCACACACCCCTTCAACGTCCTCCAAACCCGTCGTCCTATCCTCCACTCGTCCTTCAGTGCGGTTGATTGGTTGCCAATTGAGATGATTGGATTAAGCCATAAGAGCAAACTTGCGCACGCCCCCTTCCTCTCCTGCTCTTTGATCTCGGTTGCAATGTTGTACGAGCTATGCGCAAAGACTGCGGTGTCGAACACGCTCGATGTGCCCATCGGGTATGGTAGTCAGAGGGACTGAGCGGTGGTGGAGATGAAAGCACAGCCAGTGGCAGGGCCTTGTGGCTATGACTGGCTTGTGCTCGATCGGGTATGGTGGCTATGCAGGCGGAGTGCTAGTGTTGTGTAAATTTTGAATAGCGAAGGGCTCACATCTTCTCCATCAGTGCTTTGTCCATGTGTCACGCTTGATGAAACTAAGTGTGGATAGTCAGTTGTGTGCATGACGCTGGTTGCAAGTGTATATGGATGTTGAATGCTTGCTGTCAAAAGGTCTATGGATGTCTGAATGCAAAGGACAATGTGATGTCCTTGTCATGATTGCATGCACGAGTGGGCATTTGGGGGTAACTGGGTTTTGGAGTCGACTTGAGTGTATGAGTAGGCTAATTCCCTTTTCCCTGACTAACTGTCAATCCCCGTGCTAGTGTGTGTGTGAATTGTTGTAGCCTAGTTTCTTCCTTTCCTCCCTTGCGCGCAAGCATCGTGCATTAACCTCCTCGTCACCAATGCGTACGCCCGGGCAACCAGTGACATCAGGTATGGAGACTTAGTCGTCCTACCCGATCTCCCTGCGTCCAGCCATCGCCGTTTCGTCAAGGTGACAATTTTGATCGGAGTTGTTCTAGATATCTCCTTACATTTTGATAAGGAGTTTTGGGGAACAGTGTGCAAGACAAGTTGAGATTTGTACGAAGTTGAGGTTTGCCAATGTGGACGTGAGCGCGAGTAATTGCCCATGCTAGAACCTCAAGTCGATCAGCTATAGCGACCTTCCTCCTTTTCCAATCGCAGAAGGACGTTATTGTGGGCGAACTGGGTAAATTTCTACAAGGCGTACGACGTAGGAGGAGCGATATTTTTTTTTATCGATCAATTTGCCTCTCGTCTTTTATTTTTCCATACACCGATTTCATGGTGCTTCCCAAGTTGGTCGCGCTTGCCACGTGGAAGCCCCAATGTAACTCTTGCTGGTGTCGGCTCATAAACTCGTGTTCTTAGCAGAGACTGGTGTTGGAATACGAAGGCCTCGTTCAGTTTCTGGATCTCTCTCGCAATGCGGAATCCCTCCCGGCGAACTTTTGAACCTGGGTGCCTCCACTCCCACCACCACCTCGTCAGATGACAGGGGTTCAAGTCGATCGGATGCACCTCGTGCACCCTACTATGATGCACAGGGCGTCATCCTCCTCCTTGGCTCCCACAAAAATGGTGGCACGAACATGATACAAAATAGGTACTGTATTCATTTCTTTTACAAATTTTGATTTTTTTTTTTTCTTGAACCGGAACAAGTTGCTAGTTTGCCTTTGAGTCCCAAGAGGCAGGGTTTTGTTGATGTCCTGCCCAACCTTAGTCCTCCAATTTCTAAAATTTTACACTTATCTAGGTGGGCCGTTGTTTCACGAAAGACCATTGGATATGATACGAGAACCGCAGTTTCTCCTAAGTCGTTCAACCCCCCCCCCCCCAAATTTTTGGCCACACCCCAGTTACTCTGATCGGCACTTCCACTAGTACGGGACGTTGTACAAAGTGTGAGGTTATGTGTTATGTATCACAGTCCACCCAGATGAGTAGGTCCAAAATCAAAACAAGTTACCTCTATTGTAGACGATGAAGCACACTTGAGATGAATCAATCCCCCAAGGAAACAATGTTGCCTCCATAATCAGCAAGCATAATAGAAACATTACTTTTATGCAAGCAATGCCTACGTGATTATAATATCATAGGAATCTGACCCTTAGGCAAACAATGCAACACACCTCAGAGGAGCCTACCCAATAATGTGACAGTAAGCAATATGAAACACAATAGATCTATTATATTGTTTTCTTGACTATATTGACCAATAATACTTGGGAGGCTTCCCAGTTTATTTGTTCTTACAACACCCTTGTTATTGTGCCTCTAACGTACAAGGCTATAACAACGTTGATGATGGTTTTAACAACCCACTTGCACGTTATGAAACGAGGCAATGTGTGGGTGGGTATGTGTGTGTGTGTGTGTGTGTGTGTGTGTGTGTGTGTGTGTGTGTGTGTGTGTGTGTGTGTGTGTG